ACAGATTTGTATGTTTAATAGCGACTTGGTCACAACAAAATTCATACTGACTTTGGATAAATGGAAAAAATAAAAATAAAATCTGTGGAACAAGCTGTAATTACATTTAGACTTCATTTGGATAACTTGGTAATCGTATATAGTGCAGTACTTAACTCAATCATAAAAATGTTTAAGTCACTTTTTGATTTCACTAGAGCTAATATCTTTAATGTCTGAGATGACACATGTAGAAAGACTAAGATTCTCTTATTTACATCATTTCTAAGAAGAATGTCAAGACTAAAAACAAACATATTTACAAACGCATGGACTTAAATGCAAATCTTCAATAGTCCATCTCAGCTTTTCCAACAGAGCAATAATTGCTTCATAAAATTCACAGCTATACAATGTAACTAACTTTAGACATTCATGATATGAACAAAAAAACATATACATCATGTGTTTAAAAAAAGTCACTGGGGGTAGAATTAAGTTAGATGAAAAGTTATGCACAGACTATATTATGTACATCAAAAAAATTCACTTTTCACCTGATATTCACCGGTTGTGTAATACATAAAAACATAGCTGATTGACTTCATTAAAATGTGGATCAGATGGCTTAAAATATGTCCATTATCCTACGCAGGGTTCCAGGTGTGTGTTCAGGGGCGCCGGTCGTATTCACTGATTCTTTTCTTGATGTGCGACAGTTTGGATCGGAGGTATTTGCACTTCTTCTTCTTCAGCTGGTAGTCTGGGGACTGTTAGAGAACACACTTTAAAATGGATGCACAGAACACAGAATCACACGTTTTTATGTTTTCAAAGACCTGAGACACTTATTGGAAACTTAGAAAGATGCTCTCTGATTGTATATAAATGAATGAATTAGGATCCAACAATTCATTTTTGTAAGGAATAAGGTTAAATAAGTTATTCAGATGAGCCCATCTTGGGGGGGGGGGGGGGGTAGTAGGCTCCAGCTGTGGGGGGACAGCATTCAACGTGGAACCAATGAATGAATGTCTGTCTGTGATCAGGAGTTTCACAGACAAACAAAAGCCCTGATGGAGTCATAAGAAATTATACACCAGTGTATTGTTTCCCCTCAAATATGTCCAATCAGGAGATGGTAAGATTTGGAAAGTGGTAAACTCAACATGTGGTTTTAAAAAAAATAACATGTCTTATATACTCTTACCTTCTTGAGATTTTTCAGTCTGTTGAATTCACTCAAGGCATCCTGAAAGTAGACAGTGAGTTTTTTTATAAGAAGAAATCATTACACATCATTCACATAGAACTTTGAATTATGATCAAACAAAGTTGTCACAATATTTCAGACTGATTGTTGATCCACCTCTGTGCGACACTCCCTAAAGCAGTGTTTCCCAATCCTGGTCCTCATAGCACCCTGGCCTGCATGTTTTCCAAATTTCCCTTCTCCAGCACACCTGATTCTAATGAACGGGACTTTAGCAGCTTTCTGCATAGCTGAAAAGTCGTTCCATTTATTAGAATCAGGTATGCTGGAACAGGGAAACGTGGAAAACATGCAGGGCAGGGTTCCTTCAGGACCAGGATTGGGAAACGCTGCTCTAAAGCGAATATCAAGCTGAAGGTAAATAGGCAGAACAGCTGGGATTCTAATCAAAGGCTCGGTTATCTATCTTATCTATCTTATCTATGACAAAAAGCCATCTCTCTTCTCACCAGGAACTGTGGACTGCCCTCCGGGAGCCTCTCCAGGTCTCGGTCTACGTCAGCCAGGTCTTGGTTTATATCGTTGAGCTCAGCTTCCAGACTCTTGTACTCCTGGTGATCCCGGTCAAACTCCCGTCTGTAGTCCAGCCGGCCTTGCTCATCCACAATGGCTGGAAAATAACTAGACACAACAGCAGAATTACACTCGCTGCATTCCCTGTTTGTTAGTGTAGATTCTAAGTCACCAAAGACGACGGTGCTGAACTGTAAGAACTGGGAAGGTCCTCTGTTCATTTACTCGTCCCTCACACATCTGTCCTCTCTGTCCAGAATTTGGACATTACCGTTGTCTATGTGTGTCCCTTCTCCTTAAAATGGAGCCTATCCCAGCTGAAAACGGGTGAGAGGCGGCCACACCCTGGACAAATCTCCACTCCATCACAGGGACACACAGAGACACACACACACACACACACACAGACTCACATTCACTCCTAGGGGCAAATTTAGAGTAATCAATCAACCTAACAGGCAGGTTTTTGGATGGTGGGAGGAGAACACACAGAAAGGTCCTGGTCCCCTGCGGACTCGAACAGGGAACCCTCTTACAACGGTTAAGAAGTCTCTTGAAATGAAATGGGACGTTTTCACGACTGAAGAAGTTGAGATACCTTTACAATCTCTTGGTTAAAATCACTTTAATACCTTAATTTGGTCATGTGAGAACGAAACACATTTATGGAGATAAAATAATGTTAGCAACCGTTACAAAGATGTAATAATTGGCTATCCTGAACGTCCACTTACAGGTTTAAATCCTTTTCCTCAAAGTAGTCCTCAGACTCCACAACAGGGTCCATCAGCTTGGGCTTCAGGCCTCCAACAGAGCTGCTTATGTCCGAGTCCCTGTAAACATGATAGATAAGTTAAGCATTTTCTTTAAGTATCCGTGCAACTTTTTCTTTTTACCCCCAAAACCATCACTAAGCAGCAGGTGATCTGCTGGACAGGCCAGTGGCTTTAGGAGATGCCATCTCCGTTAGCACCCATCAGAGGGGGGTAGAGTCTCAGAACAGAGGATCTGTGCTGTGCATAAAGGTAAGTTCCACCATACCGAGCCAAGCTTAGGCAACTTCCCTAACCATTCGAAGGAATATGGGGCCGTTGATCTATATCCATTTGTGTCTTACAACATAGAATAATAATAATAATAATACTAACAATAATAAGTACAGAATATGATACAAGGCTTACCCTGGTAGATACAAAGGCTTGTTGTAGTCCAGCCGGTCCAGATTGTCTCTAGAACCCCCAACATGATCGTTGTAGTCGTTAACCAACACCTCTGGATCCCCAGACACATTGGTCACCTACAGAGAGAATGGTTTTAGCTAGTGCTGATGTAAGTGTGAGACTCAACTTTGATAAACATAATGTCCACTTTTGAAAAGCAACTGTCATTCTGGGATTTTTTTTTATTTTTTAAATAGCGATTGTGCCTAGCTTAAGAGCTTGAAAACCTTGTCATGTTTTAGCTGCTGATTCTAACTTTTACCCGTGTTTTAGGTCCCAACAAGTGTGTTTTTCATTCACACACACATCACCCAGCCATAGATGATGGCCTCCTCAACAGACACTGTTGTTTAGTAAGGAACATGATACAACACCAAGATTTCCAGCCATCATAAACAATACTAAAAGTCTGTACTATCTAGCTATATCACAGCATGTGTGCCATCCAAAATAAATTCTATTGATACTAGAAGCTGTAATTCGTAAGCTAATCTTGACTTGGTGTTATGTAAAATTGTTGTTATCAAAGCAGTGTGCTGTTGAAACTTTCACATGCCTGTCTGAGTTTAGGCTAAAATAAGATGTCACTGCCAAAAGAAAAACACTCTAGGTGTACAAGCCATCCACCTGGACTAACTGGTTTGTCTGGTCTCTCTTGCAGGGCTGAATACCACAGATACCATCACCACTACCCACTGAAGCTGAAGACAACGCCTTTCAGCCACCAAAACCGCTTCAGCTCCGGTCCCAGCGGCTTCTGGGAAGGTTGGTTCACTTGAAACGAACGCAATACAGCTACTAGGTCAAGTCTTTAAAATGTGTCGTTGCCTCGTCCTGGTGCACGGCACCGGACGTCAGGCTGAAACCAACACAGGCTAAACAGACCACACCCTGAAACTGCAAGTGAAACCAGCCAATGCTGGACGTACACACACATACACACACGCTTATAAAGGGTGGCTATGAGCATGTGCCTCTGGTGGACCTCTAGGGTGGTCTCATGAGTTAGGAAACCACACAAAGTGTGTTTTGAGGGAGTGCTCTGCAGACAGATCACTGTCACACACACTTTGAAGGGAAAGAAAACGACTAAACAAACTTTTTTTGCTTCTACACAACTGATTCAGCTTAGATGGGTCTTTTCTAAAGATTCAAAGCTGTGCACAGGTCAGCCGATGTGTTGACGGGAATCAGGTGCATCGAGGTAAGGAAATGTGTAAAACCTGAAAGACGGCGGCCTCAGGGACAGGAATTGCCCATCCCTGCCTCAGGATGAAATATCTTTGTGCTCTGTGCTGTAGCTGTTTCACAACAAAGGCCCAGAACCTGTACACTTGCTTGTTTCAGAATAATTCAGCTTTTCGATTTTAATGTTCCGAAATGTTATTTAGATTGAAACCAGGAGGTCCCGTCGCCCTCACAAAACATCTGCACGAAGGCGTGGCTCCTCAGATTGTGAAACCTTCACCCAGCTGCCACCCAGACACATATTGGTGTTCATAGCTTCTGGGTAGACAGACTGATAACTCGTTATCTCATAAAAACCTTCACTGGTGCCATCCTATGTGGGTTGTTTGTGCGATAATGCTTTGCATCTAAATCTAGCCAATGAGATAGAACCAACAGATATGAGAGGCTTTGAATCCTTGCATTTAGAAATATCTATTGAGACACCTGAACAATTATCAGGACTGTTGTTGCGCAGTGTGTTTGTAATGGCACACCTACAGCCATGGGTCGGGTGCAATTTAAGCTCCTAATTCCAAGAAAGACAGACTTCCTAGAAACCCACCCCTTATGGGGTGAGCATAATAGAAGAGAATCCATGCTGATCTAGTGTGGACTACTGAGCTGCTCCATGTATGAAGGCTCAACACAAGAATGCTCAGCAAAGCAGACAAATAGAAAAAAAAAATCAGTTCACAGCATAACATATTGACATTTATGAGTTCGACAGAGCTGGGCTGGACAATAAAAGTCTTTACTTTTTCTTTAAAGGAGGTAAATCCAGCCTCACACAAAATCTAAAAAAAAAAAACAAGTAACATTCCAAATGTGTGCAAAGAAGCCTTTCCCTGTCTTTCTCTGGCGAGCCGCTGGTAGAACCTCCTTCAGAAGTATCAAGTGGAGACCATGGTGTCTGCACAGCTCTCTGAATGACCCATCATAGTATTTAACTCATGCTGGGCTCTGGACTTTGGCTGGACCGTTGCAGCACTGTGGTTCTTTTTAAGAAATACCGTTATAGATTTGCTGCTGGGTTTAGAAACATTGTCCTGCCCATGATTTGACTACGTGTTAAACAGAGGCTGTGGTCATCTCATCAAAGAGTGTATGCATAAATTCAAAAGCTCATAATCTGAACTGCAGCTGTTACTCAATCCAGCCGTGTTCTGATGTGCAACTCTTAAGGTGACAGACACAAAGCCTGTAACCTGAAACCAAAATGAAAGCAAGCTCAGGCCTTTGTGCTGTGGGTCTCCTGTTTTCCCCTCAAACATTATGGGTTTGGTGTAATTTTTTAAAGGTAAGATGTGGAAACCTGATAAGAGCTGATAGGCCGAACATTAGCTGCAGCTTTAAGTGAACCGCTTGCTCAGGAAAACTAGAGATTTTCAGCAAAAAAAGTCCAGAAGAGCTCTGGTCTCTTTTTACAGTTGCTGTTTGCACATGTTTATCGCAGATTTCTGTTCCAGATTCACTCAGACAAGCACAGAGGCCAGTAAAAACACAAGCTTTACCCTTCCAAAGCTTCCTCCGGACCTGAGTATTCAAAGATTGAGCTGTTTCTTACGTATGAATTCAGACACACACAGACTCACCCACTCTCCGATGGTGGTGTGATGGCCAGGACTGACCATCTTCACTTCCTCCCAGAGAATCCGGTCCCGGCCCCACCGCCTTATCATTGACCGGGTCTTCACCGCAAAAACCAGCAAGATGATGAGGCCAACGAAGACCAAGAATCCCAGGACAATAGCTATGGCCTGCGGGAACAACGGGAGTCAACGTCAGTGATGGGAAATGTCATCGGAACAAGCAGAGTTAAAGTCAGTAACGTCTGGAGATGGAAGCCAGAACAAAAAGTTAGCCTTGTCATACTGGCTTTAATGAAACCCTAGAAAACTGGGTGGATCTTAACGGTCACCTCCACAGTAATGTGTCAGAAATGTTTTGCTACCTTCCCTTTATCTCACCAAAAAGCTCAATCAGAAGCATGTATACACGTCCAAGTACAAGAACCTCTGTAGGAATTTAGTTCACTGCTTGTAAATTAAGCCAATTCTGACAGCGTTCCTACAGTTTCTCCAGTATGTTCTTAGACTTATTTGTGATGGTTCTTGTGTCAGAGATACATAAATTCTGGTTACTATACTTAAGTTAAAAGTCAAATTTAATAACCACAAGAAAAACTTCAGAATTGGTCAAACTGTCAGCATGAGAGAGGAAAAGGAAAAAAAAAACTTATTAAGAGCTTGGATTTCAGACTCAATGTGCTCTTATCAAATATTAAAACTAGAAGAGAAATTCCATTGAGGAATATCTTAAGTCCCACTCTTCAAACACACGAAAAACTGGTTTTAATTCTATTATTTAGTCTCTGGTTCCTTGTTAACCTTAGCTGGAGCCTATGTCAATGGCATCATTCAAATATAATGAAAAAATGACAACAATAACGATAGTAGAAGAAGAGAAAGTGTGTCCCACCTCCTGGGGCTCCACCACGCAGTAGTGGTAAAGGTACTGGTTGATGAAGATCCCCTGGGCCTGGTTCTGGTTCTGGTACTGTGCACACAGCTGGCGTACTTGGTTATAGTACATGGATCCTGAGGACTGCGCCGTCGGGTTCACCGCCACAAGGTACACGATGGTGGCGATGATCATCAGGACTGCTAAGATGGCGGAGATGATGATGGCCGCCAGGTAGAACTTCGGGGACTGGGATGTGCTCTGCCTCGAAACAACCAGCACGAATATGATGAGCACGGCTATGAAAGTGATGGCGGCTATGGCTATGATAAAGCCTTTGCCCGATTTGGGATCCATTTGTGTTCCTCCGGAGCCGTAGGAGCCGCCGCCGCCATAACTGCCGCCGCCGCCGTAGGAACTGCCGCCATAGGAACCGCCGCCATAGCTGCTCCCGTAACCCCCCCCGCCGTAACCCCCCCCGCCGTAGGAGCTGCCATAACCCGGTATCAAACCCGATCCACCGCCCATCCCCATCATGCTCATGTCGTAGTCCCACGCCAGAGTGGAGGCCACACAGGCGAACACCGCCACGCACATGATGATGATGATGATGCACAGTATCTTCATGACGCCCGGGGGGGACGTCCACAGGTAGAAGTGGAGCATTTTGTCCCCCGGATTGTAGGGGAAGGCTGGGTTGGACATGAGCTCGCTGTGCCTGTGCCGGCTGCTGTGGCTGCAAAAGAAGAGGCCAGGCGGCCAGTGGTCAGTGTCCGAGACGAAGAGACAGGAAGCAGCAGCTCACGGTGAGCACCACAGACACAGCACACCAACAATTCAAAAGTTTATCATATTCACTCCGTCCTGAGAGCGTTTGGGTGGGTTTAACACAACTGAAAATGTATTTACTCCATAAGGTTAAGACAATACTGGAACTTTGATAAGCTATTATTTACCAGCTTTTTTTTTTAACCCAATGACTTTCTATCAAGTGTGTATAAATGTGAGAGTGGGAGATAAATCACACATTATTTGCTTTAGAAGTTAAAGCATCAGTCGGATATACGACACACACTAAATCTATAAGGGAACAATGTCACATGGGTCTTGAGAATAAGTTTGTTTGTTACTTTAACATTTTCAGGCCAAAACCAAGAAAATCTGTAAAGAAGACCATTTTGCACACAAAATCAAATTTTTACCACTGAAATTAATTTTTAAATTGCGATTGTTTGTTAAAAAAATTTAAGAGTTTTAAGTTTTAAGAAAACATTTAACTTTTCAAATAAAGCCTTGGGTCATAGCTGGCCAAATGAGGAAAACAATATTAATATACACTAGAAAGATACAACAATGATGAATTGGTTTCAACAAGTTTTTTAAACATAACTGAAGTGGATCCATTTTATCCTGAGCTAAAGAAAGAGGCGGGTTCAGAAGGTTCAGGGTTAAAAGACCTTTTCAGTCTGAAAACATCTTTAAAATCTTAAAATCTTTAAATGTATCTATTTGAAAGAAATGTTTAGATTAAATGGCCTCACCAATCTGCTGGGACGTTTTTCATTTTAGTAAAAAAAAAAAAATTGAATCTTATTTGCTATATTCCAAACTGAAACACAATATCAGTGTGTTTGTTGTTATTGTGTTTGTTTTTTAACAAAGCCGTGATAATTTCCTTCAGTCAGACTTCAAACAATGGCTTCTTTAAATGACTTTCAGGTTGTTTTTCCAGCAGTTTCTCAGCTGACACTCGACAGACTTACTGTTTGCTACCGCTGGGCGGGTACAGGGGGTTGCTGTGCCTGTTGCTGGGCATGGTGGCGAATATCTGGCCAAAAAGAGAAAATATTAAGGCTCTAATTGTGATGAAAAAAAAAAAAAACTCTGAAACAAATAAACACACAAACAAACACGTACTTCCGACCGTCACTGTCCGCTATGAGACGTCCAACGTCGACCAAATAAGTCCAGTCCAGAGGAAAAATTACAACTAAAGTCGCTGTCCTGTGAGTGGAAAAGGCCAAAGGGCAACAGGTCGGAATAACTTAGTCCAAAACGTGTGTTTGTCCGAACCGGACCTGTACAGCCACCCGCCTCGAGCTGGTCCCGGTAAACGAAGAAGTGTCCTTCAACGCGCGCGACGCGAGGATGCGCGCGGCCCCGCCTCGCGCCACAGGTGTAGGCCCGTCACGTGGTGTCATCCCAGGTCGTACAGGACCAACCTGTCCTCCCCCAGCAGGAAGCGGCGCGAGGCTCTGACACTCACTTCCACCCCCACCAACACTCACCTCCACCCCCACCAACACCCCCCCTCCACCGCCTCCAACACCCACCCCACCCCCCGGTCTCAGCCGGAGAACAGGCCCCTCTGGGAGCAAAACTGTAGCTCCTGGCGTTAAGTTTCTTATTCGCGCCAGAAAAAAAGGTTCAAGTTTCAACCCCTTAACTCCACACGTTATTCATTTCAACTAAGAGTTCATTTCTCTAACTCGAGCTGGAATAATTTAAAAACTCAATAGAATGACAACACGTTACGTTGATGGACCAAACTGAGCAGGTGTTTTTTGAATGTGCAAAATGGGCCCTTGTTATTTTTCTGGTCCTTTTAGCTGAGACCGCAAAGGCGTTTCCGCCTCCACTGAGGGAGATAAGCCAAAATATCCTGACCACGGTGAAACCGAGAGCCGCCGCCGTCCAGCTAAACCAGTCCTCCCAGTCGGCAGCCGCCATTTCAGAAGGATGACTTCTCTGTTTACAGACGGGTTTCCAGAAATGGAGCCCTTCCAGAAACACCTCCAACCCTTATTCGCTTTCACAGTCCCCATCCCAGCACAACTCGTTGGATATTAAAAATTACATTTCATCAACGTTACACTTTGTCCCAAGAAAAAAAAAACAAAAAAACATGGAACTACACTTTTTTTTTTAATAGACTCATTTTATAAGTGGAAAACAGACTGAATGGTTGTAGTCTTGTTCTTTTCCTTAAAAAAAATCATATTGGGTTTAAGACGGTTTAATGAGTAGAAAACTTTATAATGTATACTACAATCGTTGGTCAAACACTTGATGAGGAAAAAAAAGCTTAGCAGTTAAGCACAAGTTTCTGGTTTCAGTTTCTGGTTTCATTGTTAAAGTTAAGGCATTTTAATCACACATTAAGAGTTATTGTTGGCATAAAACAGAAGGATATATCATACAAGGTGTCAAATATATAAAAAAACATAATAATGGCAATGTAAAAATAACAGAAACAAACTGGCTTCAACTAATAGGCGATAATTAAGAGGCAAGGTCCCATAAATTCATTCCTAACAAAGTATACAACAAAAGTATAATCTAGGATGGCAAACCTCCACACTTTGATACATGGAACCATCCATCCGATAAAAAATGGACTGAACATCCAACAACACTTCCATCTATTGTAGAATTATTCTCAACTTTGGCCATAAAGCCTTCATATGTTCACATCTGCTTCTAGATCATTTTATACAAAATAATTATATACGTGTTTGGCTTTTATTTTTTCTTTGTGTTCCAGAGGCTGCCAGACGTTTTTAACAGATGTATGTCGCTGTCTGATGCCAAGCACACCACTGGGTAACACATAATCTCTTGTTAGCTATAAATCTGTTTGCTAATATTTGAGATATTATCAATATTCTGAGATGAATCTAGCAGCATTTCAAAGACCTCCTGTATCATGTGTGGCCCAGATGAAATTAGTGAATAAGTCTTATAATACAGTAGATCATTATTAGGTTGGGTTGTACAAATTCTTTCCTGCTCTGTAAAAAATGCCAAAATACAAAAAGAAAAATATGACAAAATTAAAATACTGGACTCCAGACGAAGGTTTTGCTGCTCAGATACTCGCCAACAGACAACAGATACCATCAACATTCAAGACAGATGCTACTCAATCCTAATTCCTAAAATATCAAATAGATGGGCTGCACGCCAATCATTTTGGTATCTTGTAAAATACGAAATCCTGGTTAAGAAAGATTTCCACTCCGATAACATGCTGGTGTGATCTGAGGGGACATGTCTACAGGGTTCTGTATGCCAGGTTTGATGCTGGTTCATTTTGTTTAACTCTTGTTTAACTACGTTTATAGGGAATGAATATATGGTGACATTATCCATTCATTTCTTTATTCTGACATCTTAATATGTTTAAACCCCATTTCATTTTGGTACTTATGTTTACAATTAGAAAAAATAACAAAAGAAGACTTAAATCCACCATGATGGCATTAAGTATTTTTCACATATGTTTAAATAATAATGTCATATATAATCAACTGTTACAGGTTAAAAAAAGATCTCCGTTTGAGTGCTCCATGGTGAGCTGGACAGGATGCGTTAACTCTAGTGTTTAGTTGCCATTGTTCAACTCCACAACCTTGTTGTACTCTGAAATCTTCTGTTTTATGTGAGACAGCTTGTTCTTTAGGTACTCACACCTCTCCCTTTTCTCCTGGTATGATGGGTCCTGGGAAGAAAGACAGACATGTTAACACTGTGTGCAATGTCTACCTTAAATATTAATATCAAATATTCAGTTTTAACCTAAGATATAATATACAAAGAAAATGACAATATACAAAGAAAATTCAAACACTGCTTAGAACATTTTCACACAAAAGTCACAAAAGTCACAAAAAGACTAGATTAAAATACCCTTGTGTGTATATATATATATAAATAAATAAGCTTGGTAACATCATAGCTGCGTGTATTAAGCAGGCCTTAAAAATGGAAATAACCACTAAACTGATCACCAGCATTTTTTAATTTTAAGGTTTTTGTTAGGAGAGTGTAAACCTGAGCTAAATTATCATCATTGCACAGAAGACCTTCAAAAAGCGCAAATTTACTGCACGATCAGCAAATTAGCCATACACAGCAAATATGTTCACTTGGGTTTAAACCTAATCAAAAGCCCAGGAAGCAGAATCCCCCTGAGGGAAACCGTTTGCCTCACCTGCTAACATTACAAACGAGGAGTGAACAAACACAAGCCTTAGTGTTGTCGGGCTGCTTACAACATCACCACATTCCTTTGTGACGTGGCTGTTCCCATTGTGCGTCTCAACACGGGATCTGGTTTCGGTTTATTCATAGAAAAACCAGCCTCACTCCAAAAGCACCGATTATGTCATCTGGATACCATCATGACAAGTCAAAAAGATCTTTGATGACTTCTGAAAATGGAATCTTATATAAGTATAAATTTAAATGTGGGAAGCTAAGAAAACCCCCCACTTGTCACTTCTCGGAAGGAAAAACTGACAACTGGTCCTGACATTTTTAGTTTTTTTTTGTGGTTATGTTGCCAGTGTTGTAACAGGAAATGTTCAGAACTATGAAATCTCTTTCATAAGATTGTATTAGTTGCAATCTTTTGTTAAACAGGTTTTGGATGCAAATGAGGATGGTTCAAAATTCTTTTCAACTTTTAAATTTGACTGTCAAATTTGACTGTGTTGCCTATATTTTCCCCATCAAGAATATACAGATTATATTTGTATCAGATAGTTATGTCCTTGGTTAACTTTAGAAATGTATAGCTGTAGATGTGGGCATCACAGAGTCTAGCATCAGAAAACACAATCTATTTGGTAAATAGCTGTTTTACAATGGATCTGTTATGACAGAAGTCTGGGTTTTCTTTTTCCAAAAGTACAAAACAGCCAATGGGTTCTCTGCCATTCACAGAAACAACTGGAATGAGGATTTACAGTGAATAGGGAGAATTTGGAACTTCAGAGACAATTAATTTAAATTGGACATCTGTGGTTTGTCATAACATTTCAGAGTTCATTCATCGGCAAAGTGTTTGTATTTGTCATTTAGTTGCTGGAGAATATTTCCATCACAAGCAGTCCTGTTTAATCTGTTAGCAGCTCAGAGGGGCCCGTTTAACCATAGCATGACATTTTTACTTAGTTAGTATTGTAAGGTCATTGTTTTGCTATACCATATCCATTCAGGGACAAAAAGAATGCGCTTTCCCCTTCTGCTTTGAGGGATCCTTCTTTTTTCAATTTTAGTGTAAAAAGTCCCACTAATAACCAAAAAAAGATATAATAGAAACAAAATTATTTCCCTAAAAGGTGTTAACGGGATTAAGCCCATTTGATCAGGTGCACTTACAGCTTTTTTCCTCTGGTATTCCATTAAAATCTTATCGATCCGTTCCTTCTCCTGAAAAAGCAAACAACCGTTAGCAAACATAATCAGAAGATCAGTATGCAAGTGTGTGTGTGTGTGTGTGTGTGTGTGTGTGTGTGTGTGTGAGTGTG